CCCTATCTTAATGTCGGATTATCGAAATTCTTTTTTTTATAATAGTAATGATAAGCTCTTTGAACGTAGACAAAATTAAAACTCCCCGACACTTTTATGGAGATAGGATGTAACAAATTCTTCATACAAGATTAAGACCGCAATGAAGCTCTCTTAATCACCGTCTGTTACATAGTATCATCTCCATTACGTAGCTGTGGCCTAATTGAAGACAACAACCACATTTTCGTTATTTGCAAGCATTACACACAAATGAGAAATTCACTAACAAGACATATACATGTATATTAACAAACATGTAACTTTAATCAGTTAAATTCAAATTATATGTACTTAACACATGAAATATGCATACACACGCCTCCGGGAGTTAAAATATAGACTACAAAGCAAATCATGAGGCTTGAGCTAGAATAACGTCTTGTGTTGTATATCTTAATACAAATAACGAGATATTTTAATTATATTATTGTTTATTGTTTGTCTGTACATGATATAGACTATGTCAAAGATCTTTCGATGTTTTACACATTCCGTGCACGGTCATATAATCAGTATGCAGTTAACAGCAAATATACATTGAGTTCAAGCTTTAATTGACTATTTGATGCTATTCTGACAAATGTCTGACAAATTTCCTCTTATAGGTAATGGGCAATTCAGAAGTAAATTCAAATTCTCTATTTCTACATACAGAATCAGTATTTGCAAGAATACAGATTTTAGTATTTTAGTAATAAACGAACTTGTTATAAAAATTCAATAGTTTAGTAAAATACGGACTTCGTATTTCATGAACTTTAACTTCATCAGGTTAAAATCGTGAATTCGTGAAGTTGAAATTGTGAATTCGTGAAGTTGAAATCATAAATTCGTGAAGTTCAAATCGTGAATTCACGACGTTGAATTCGTGAAGTTGAAATCATGAATTCATGGAGTTGAAATCGTAAATTCGTGAAGTTGAAATCGTGAATTCGTGAAGTTGAAATCGTGAATTCATGAAGTTGAATTCGTGAATTCACGAAGTTGAATTCGTGAAGTTGAAATCGTGAATTCATGAAGTTGATATCGTGAATTCGTGAAGTTGAAATCGTTAATTCATGAAGTTGAAATCGTGAATTCGTGAAGTTGAAGTCGTGAATTCATGAAGCTGAATCGTGAATTCTTGAATTCCGTATTTTGAAAAGGGGAATTCACGAAGTTTAAATGGTGAATTCATGACGATGAAATCGGGAATTCATGAAGTTGAAATGGCCCTACCGGTCTTTCGTATATACCTCCTTGTTATCTGTTAGAGTCCCTTTTGACAATTGATATTTCATGATCATGTATATCTTTACCTCAAGAATTTTATAAAATTTAAGTGCATATTTAAACACACATACATTTTACTTAAATATTTCTACTCAATTTACAAAAGGAACGGGCCAAAAGGTTTTGCAACATTATCAGTGGCCCTCATACGTATCGTTTATACTTTCTTTTTCTTGATTAAGATGAAGCCCCTCCCCCCGTATTTTTTCAATATTCACTTGAATCTTATATTTATCGCTTTTAAACTTTTTGCGCCTTACATTTTTCCAGAATCATTGATCCAAATACATTTCATGTGGGGGATTAAAAACCTATGTAAGAGGAATTTGATATGTTGTTCTATATAATTGAGTCTTCAAGTTCCAACTTTTTGTTTTGTTCTCATTGCTCACGGTAGATATTTTTGGGCAGTACATTTTGTCTTCCGTTTGAGCTTGGCTAATTTTGATATTTTTTGCCAGCATGTATCTGTCTTTGATGAGCAATGATAATAGAGAAAAAAGTGGGATAATCTATTTTAATTGGAATGCCTATCTCAGTAACCTTTATTTTTAGAAGCTGAATATCTTTCAAGTCTGTTTATTTTAATAAATGGTCATCATCCTTATACGGTATGACTCAAACGTTTATTAAAAGATATTATTAAATAACTTTACGTTATTAGTCCTTTAAAAAAGTACCTGCCACGTTCAATAACACGATGGCCTGCCCACATTTGAAGTAATTTGATTGGCTAATAAAGCAGGGCCAAAAAATGATATAGATTTCTACAAGAAACTGGGAAATGGCAGCCATTTTGTTTTAACTCTATGTGTAGACGCCGACAGGTTGCATAAATGAAACAAAATATTCTCAGTTTCTAAACATTCACAGTCACATTTTGTTGAACATGTACAATATAAGTTACAAAATGTAGGTTTTCCATACAAACTGATAAAATGAAGTTATTTTTACAGTTGTTCTTTGCTATAATTAAAATATGTTAGAATTAAAATAAGAAGAAATATCCGATGATTAAATGTGAAATATTTTAAGTACATGTAGTTATTTAATAAAATTGTCAATAAATAAATGATTTGATATTGGCCCTGTTATTTGTCCTCGGGTCAGTCGTTTTGGCCCTCGGCCTTCGGCCTTGGGCCTATACGACTGCCCTCGGACAAATAACATGACCAATATCAAATCACTTATTTATTAACATATAATACACAAACACGTCATAACCTGTAAATAAAATATAGTAAGCTCCCCCTTCTCCTTCTCCCGATGGCTAATGCTTAAGAATATTGATAAGGTTTATTAAAGTTTCCCAATAATATCCTAATTTGTCTGGGTGCGATCTACCGAAGTAATCTTACTCACATTAAAAGAATACTCAAGGTACGAATTAGCAGAACAATACACGTTGCATATTGCGAGGACCTCGTAGCGTAGCTGCAACGCAAATGATAATTAAAGTAATTCAAAGCTATAAGTAATTATAAAAAGTCCTTCTTCTTGTCGTTTATACCCGGAAAGAAACGTTTGGAAGGGCTCCAAATGGCACCAACAGATGTCACTGCAGGTGAAAGAGTAAGTAATGCTCTGTTAACATGGCAGAGTGAGTTATCAATAATTATATGAGATCATTTAAGTTAAAGGATTTTAGGTGTACATGTTTCAATTAAAATATTATAGTTCTGTTTAATTGCATGTCAAAGAGAGTAGTTCTCTATAGATAATTTTAAGTGAGTAGTGATCAACGACCTATGGTCAGTGAGATTTCAGAAATTATTAAACTAGTACATGTATATAGTTTGTAATGGGCAAACATCTATGTGAGCTCGAGATGAATAAAGCCGAAACAAACGGTGTGATATAACATTTAATATTGGAAAAACAATATTTACTTTGATAAAACATCTGGAATCAACAATGTATTATAATGAATTTAATTTGCTGTAGACAGTTTGTTTATTTTTTACCAGTGACATATTCTACTTAAAGTCATAACATATAAAAAGCCTTATACATCAATCAATGAAACATATGTTATCGCCAATTAACACGCCAACAGATAAATTTTTCAGGAGGTAAAAATTTAGAGGAATGAAAAACAAAACGTGTTACACCTATCATTGGAAAATACATAATAAATTAATTCATATGCTTTAAGGCAAGTCTTAATGTTGTTTTTGTAATCTGTTATTAATAAAATCATACTACGATAATATGAAAAAAGACAAATCACCAAATTAGTTCATTATGCCATTACTTTATTACCAGATGTTCATTAATGTTAAATCATTATTTAATTAATGGATGCTGGTACAAGTAATAAATAGACCGGTTTCATTTTAAATAAATCATCTAAAAGGAAGGACTGCACGGCAAAGTAAGTTGACTATTTCCATTTTATGAAAATTTGTTTGCTTTTTTTAGCCTAAGCAGACTAAAGATAATTGTATTAAACAAAGCACACTTCAAAGATAAGTTGAAGGCAGATGATTACTCCTCCAAAATGTTGATTGACCTTTTCGAATGAATTTGGAATGCTTTGTTTAAATATGATACAATTATCTTTAACATTAAGTCACTCTGATTGAATCAACCTTTTACTTATTTTTTGATTATTTGTAAATTGAAAAATTAAAGTTATTTAACGGAAATTTATTATAAGTACAAAGTTAACAAACCATTTATAGCATGTCGCCCACTTTGATGCTTTCAGCAAGGTGCGTGTCGAACTTATCTCGCTTGCTATAGGCACTTTTAAACATTTAATCATTAGTGAAATTCGTTTTGTTCAACATACACTTACATACGGAATTAACACGACTTCTAAATATCCACGTTCTTTTTTATTATACAGGTATAGATTTGTTACAAAATGGTCAAGATTTTCATCACCAGCTTCATAGTCTCCCTTCTACTGTGTTCTGTCTGTGCTGATGGTAATTGATATTTTTTTTTGACAATTTATTTTCAATTTTGAAATATTTTACATCTGTTGAAGTATATTGTTCATGTAAGAGCATTTTGTTTTAACTTTATGCAGTTTTCAACCTCGAAAGGCACTGCAAAGATGATAAGCATGGACTGACTGTATAACAAAGATTGATTTACGAAGCTAGCAACAAATAATTTACCGAAATCAAAATGTTCATTGGAACACATATGAAAGACATATAATGCACCTTCTGTGCATGACCTTTAAATAGGCTTGTATTGTTTAAAACATGGATTGTTTGTCAAAGAATTAAAATTAGTGTTGAAACACGCTGTATTGTTTACAGTGTCATTTTTAAATATATTTTTGTGAAGTAATAACTGCGTGTCGAAAACTTATATCAGTGTTTTTATATTATTTTCTTTTTCATGCTGGAAGTGATCTACATTAAATATTTATCTATAACTTTAAAATCGTTTAAGTACAAGTCAATTGTACATGATTTTATAAAGTTGTAAAGGCATTGGAGTAGGGGAGGGGCGAATGATCCGAGGATTTTTTTCACCTTCCTTCTTTTTTGAGCCAAAAAACACGAAAATATATAAGAGGTTTACAATCTGACAGTCCGGTCTAGTCAATACATTAATCGGAAGTCTGAAATTCAAAAAAAAAATTGTTTAAGTTATTCTTCAGGGATTCGGGGTTGAGAGGGCCGTTGTTACAATTGACTGGTGCATAACTTTGTTTAAACGTGGTAAGGAACAACACTTATGAAGTATGATGAGTAATAATCAGCATAACTAGAACTTTATATTATGATATTCTTTAAAGTCAGAGATGCCAATTTTCTTTAGGTCTATAAAGTCATTTTTATCTGAAAATAATTTTACAGAATGTGAGGTAACGACACCACAGCAAATAGAATGTATGGGCGGACGCACAGAGGGTTTATACTACTCGTACAATGGTGGACAATGTAGGCGTATGTACGGTTGTTTCTCCGCGTACGCAACCAACCTATACAACGAGGAGGAAGACTGCATAACAGCTTGGGAAAATTGTTGAATATGTATATGATACATGAAATAAAAATATATCAATTTAAAAAAGTCTTTGTATATTTTATTTCTCATATCCTGAGAACCACTGCTACTTTTGCAAGCATTTTCACTCACACATCTAAGTTCTAATTGGTATTTAACAGGGTGATAAATGTGATATTTGACATTAACGCGTTCGTTACAGGACGTTCTAGAAACGTCACGCACAGGAAGTCATTGAAATGTGTGTTCGACCAGGCAAAAAAGGAAGCTATTTAATTTAAGTTGTATAGGCGCCTCTCAGTTTCTTACCTGGAAAATGTAGCTTTTTGAAAAACAAAATACACTACTCAGACATGCACCTCCTGAGAAACATGTGTTCGCTGTATAACTCAAATTTCAATTTTGCCGCAAGGGTACACGTCTCATAACGAACATATCGCATTGCTCTGTCTGAAATTTGTCCTTCACATCGATCTCGTTGCATACTATATATATACTCATATTATGCCAAGTATAGGTTTCAATATTGGGCTACATATTAATTTGGGATACAGATATTGAACATACGGAAGCCAAATTGTGTCATTAAGGCAAATACGTTTTAGTACGCTATGAGAGATGAAAAGATATGAAACAATTAACAAATAATGATTCTGTTTTGTTGCATTTTTGCATTTGCTTCTTTTGAAACACTATTCATAGAATTATTAAATTTCTTGACCAGTTTAATAAATGTGTAATATAGTAAAATAAATTGCTGTACGTGTTGTGACAACAACTGAAAAAGCCTATTATATTCTGAAAATTTGAACATTTGGCTGCCATCTTGGATTATGGCGACCGTTTTGAATTCTTATCAGTCATGTTTAATGCTCTTCACAAGAGGTGCACACTCGCCCTATTTTATACACGGATTTCTTTAACAGTATGTAAATAACAGTTTGCTGAATTATTGAAATGCAGAAATATCGAAATAATCAATTAGCCAGGCTGCTGACATGTTTATTGTAATTTACTTGTATGACACTTCTATGATAATTCAATCAAGCCAGTTGACGGTTACAAATTCATATCAAGTTTAATTCACCTGATTTTCATTTTGACTTAAAGAAAGGACTCAGCAAGTGTGACATTAGACTAAATTGAATTAGACTGGATCAGCTTGATCGATAATCCACGGTGGCACAAAGGTGATATGTATGTGTTTTTATCTATCTCGTGCGCACGAGATACTTTGTCGTGTCCAAGAGTTATTTAGTCGTGGCCACGAGATAGTTAAGTCGTGGGAAGGAGATACTATGTCGTGGCCACGACTTACTCAGTCGTGGTCACGAGATAATTAAGTCGTGGGAACGAGATAGTATGTCGTGACCACGAGTTACTAAGTTGTTGTAACGAGATAGATAAGCCATGCACACGAGATAAAAAACCAATAAGATTACATTATATATAGATATAATTTTCTTAAAGTTTAAAAAATTCTGTTTATAGTTTTATATGTAACATTAATCTTTTTAGAAATACTAAAGATTTTCACTAATAACTTGATATATGTCTTTAGGATCATATTAGAAAATCACTTTCCAATGCCCATTAATCAGACATAAATTTTGACTAAGTTATAGCCCTTTGTAGGGACAATATTTCTTTTTTATTGATAGAACTGGTCAGTTTGTACTTACCACGGCCTGTTAACTATTTTTATACGATTACTTGAGAGGGAATGAGTTCTGTTTTATTTTATTTGGCAGGGACATTGCCCATGGAAATTAGATAGCTTATAAGGATGTTTAAGCTCAAGGGTCAAGGTAACTATGACACTTCATGTAAAAGCCTTGGCTGATGAATTATGAAGTAGAAGCCATGGTTTATATAACCTAGAAGGATCATTGCACCTGATCAGTATCTTACACCTAATAAACTTTGATAACTTTTATAAATGACACTTTTACAGGCAGGTGAAGAAGGGGCGTCTTGTACTATAGCACATGTCTAGTAAATTAGGAAAATTCCTATAAATAGTGTAATCTGATTGGTTATATATCTCGTTCCCACGACATAACTATCTCGTGCCCACGATTTAGTAACTTGTGGCCACTACATATTATCTCGTTCCCACGACTTAATTATCTCATGACTAGGACTTAGTAACTCGTGGCCACGACATAATATCTCGTTCCCACGACCTAACTATCTAGTGGCCATGACTTAGTTACTCGTGGCGACGACTTAGTAACTCTTGGCTACGACAAAGTATCTCGTCATTTTGAAGTATATTGTCTGGATTAATTTTCAGTTTGTCTAAATCATCTTTTAAACGAAGGCCTAATGGTTTAATTTCCTTTGGTTTGTTAACATATTTTTCAGTATAACTTGGATGGAAAAGAATATTTTAGCTGGATTTTTGCTTTAAGATGAAATGTTAGTTGCATATTGAAAATAATAGATTTTTTCGACGTAGATTAAGTGACGGTTCCCCAGCTTCCGCATATACACTTTCTTCAGGTGAGGTGCGAAAATCACCTAAACCTAATCGTAAACCTTGGTGATGTATGGTATCTAGCATTTAAAAATATGATTTTCTTGCAGACCCATATACAAGAGAACCATAATCTAATTTTGATCGGATAACACTTCTGTAAAATTTCAGTAATGTGGAAGAATTTGATCCCAATTTTGTACTTGATAAAACCTAAGTAAATTCAAAGCTTTTAGACATTTAGTTCTCAAATGTTTAATATGTGGTATAAAAGAGAGTTTTTTTTATCAAATATAATTCCTAAAAGATTAGATTCTAGATACCAAACTAAGCGATTATTTATCATTCTCCCGAATGTTTTGCAGAGGCAACTTGTTAGTGAAATTGGACGATAATTTGTAGGGTCGGTCGTATCGGTTCCAAGTTTAGGGATAGGAATAACCAACGCATTTTTCCAAGAGTTGGGAACTTTACCAGATACCTAAATTTTGTAAAAATTTCAAGAAGCAAGTCAAGAGATTGGGGTGGTAAATGTTTAAGAAACTGGTAGTAAATTTCGTCCGTGCCTTCAGCACTGTCTTTTGCGGTTTTGATCGAATAAATTAAGGCATCCATAGAGAAAAGGGAATTATAGTCTTCATCGTTTGTTGAAGTAAAATTAATATGCTCTTTCTAAGCTTTACATTTATGTTGTTGAAATTCATTTGAATAATTTTTTGAAAACGAGATTTTTAAAAGGTTTTAGCCAAAGTTTCTGCAATATCCGTTTTTGTTTTGGCATATTGGCCATCATAAGTTTTTAAATGAACATTTGGACTATTTTTATACTTACCACTTAATTTTTTAAGTGCATCCCAGATTTTTAATAGGAGTATTTGAATTAATATTTGAAACATATGATTGCCTTGATTGGCGTTTAGATTGACGAATTGATCTTCTAGCTTTGGCTCTAAATATTCTGTAATTTTTAAGGTTTTCTGTTGTAGGGCGATGTTCAATTTTTTTAAGTGAAGCTTTTCGTATACGAACGGCCTTTTTACATTCATCGTTTTTCAATGGTTTTTTAATTTTGATAATTTTATTATTTTTTGTTAATGAAATAACTTTGCAAGCAATCGTATGTAATGTTGAAGAGAACGTTTCAGCTATATCAGCAGAAGTAAAATTAAATTCATTTTTTATCAATAGAACAGAGCATAGTAATGTTTCCCAATCTGCTTTATTAAATTTTTTTATTAAAAAATGACGTCTTTCCTCTGGTATACAGTCATTTGATGTAAGTAACAATGGATAATGATCACTACCGTACTGGTCATTTAAAACTTTCCAATCGAAGTCCAAGTATATAGAAGAATGGACTGTCGAAAGGTCGATGCAAGAGAATGTACCTGTAGCTGGATGTTAATATGTAGGTGACCGGTTATTTAATAAACAAAGCTGAAAGTTATCTATCAATTTCTCAGTTTTATTACCCTTTTTATTTGTAGATATACTGCCCCACATAGGATTATGAGCATTAAAGTTGCCTAAGAGAAGGAAAGGTGGTGGTAATTGTCGAACAATACTCTCAAGTTCATCACTTGTTACCGTAATATTTGGAGGAAGGTATAGAGAACAAATTGTTAGAGGTCGATGTAAGGTCACCTGCACAGCTATAGCTTGTAATCTTGTGTTAAGGTTTAGTTCTTTTTGAGGATCGCAATTTGCAATAGTAATGCTTGTACCACCTGATGTTATGGTGTTACTAGTGCATATATAGTTATAAAGTGTATAATCTTTTATAGAGATATTATCTTTAGGAGATAACATAGTCTCCTGAAGACATAACACATTTGGAGAGAATTTTGATAAAAGTAGAAGTAGATCATTACAATTTGATTTTAGACCACGGCAGTTCCATTGTAGGATATAATGACTTCTCTAATCCATTTTAAAAAATATTTATATTAAATAGGAAAATTTATTGGACTTCTGGCATTCGGAGTTAGAGGAGGGGAGAGGTTTAAATTCTCCATCAATTCGGTGTCGTGAAGTAGGTCGAACCGATTTTCTGTGTTGATCGGGTTCCGCATTGCTTTTCTCAACCGATCTGTGATAACAAATCGCTCTTAAGACGGTTGTTTTTGATAAACTTTCTCAGACGATGCTATTTGTGTGTTTGCAGTTTGCTTCTTTGGAGAAGACTTTGATGGTGACTGAGTCTGCACAGAGGTAGACTGTTTACTTTGTGAAGCTGTATATTTTTTAGGTAATGGTAACTTAAGTGGGGGGAGGCAATGACATAAGTTGACCTGCACTGCAGAGTCAACCATCTTAAAATACTTTGTAACTGCAGCTAAATACGACAGTTGTTTTGGTCCTCGTGATTCAACAAGCTTTCGTGCATCTTGAAACGAAATATTTAGCGTATACTTCTGACGAAGAATTTCTTTTTCCTTTAAGCACAAGGGGCATGACCGGGAAGTGGCATAATGATCTCCTCCATAGTTTGCACATTTAACAGGAACGTTACAAAGTTTCATTATTGTCATGGTTTGATATGCATCTGCGGCAAATAGTCTGC